ATGATAACAGCTTCAAGTGCCACACATATGTTTGCATAAAAAGCGTAGGAGAACAGTATCACAGAGGCGAAAGGAAGAAACTATGCGGAATATCACAAGTTTGTATGTGTCAGGTGTTTTTTTTCTGTCATACATGTGATAATTGCTCCTGTAAAATCTCAGGACAGTGCACCATATTGCTTATGTTAAAGGTGCAAAAGCATTTGCTTTGCATTCCTTTTTTATGTTGGAAGGAAAATGTTGGTGGTGCAGCAGTTTTCTGACAGGTTGAGAAGTAACCTGCTCTTTCGAACAGTGTTGGGTGGCATCTAAATCGGTGGAAAACTCCATGACGAGAAGGAGAAGCATGTTGTTGGAGGAAATATCCTGCCCAAGCTTTTGTAAAATAAGTTTCCTCGTTGTTCCCTGCCTAACCGGATCAAGGTCACACACAGCCAAGTGAGTGTAATTTACTTTTCCAAACTCGTTTGGATAATCTCTCCCCCAGTTACCTCAGCTTGTGTGAAATTCCCAATTAACTATATCTCAGAAAAATCACAAAACAACGCCATGTGAAATTTTCTTAATGAATTCCTTTGTCTCTGAATGCACAGATGAGGCATGAGCAAGGCACATGTACGGTGAGCGTATTAGTTAGGCGAGCCCATGTGATGGTGCCCGTTCACGGCTGACGGAGTGTTGGTATCCTCGGGCATGGCTGCCAAGCTGCCAGTCTGTGCCGTCACACCTTGCTGCCTTTAAAGATTGCCCTGCAGAGACGGGGAGGGGGTACGGAGGGCCTCACGTTTTTAACAACGCACAGTCTGGCAACCCAGGAGGGTTTACGACTCAGGATTGGTGCCAAGAACTGCCCACCAGAGAGATGGGGGGAGGAGGGGTAGAGGTGCAAGGAGATATGGGTGTATGGCACACACGTACACTCATTTTATGTGAGTGTGTGTGTGTGTGTGTGTGTGTGTGTGTGTGTGTGTGTGTGTGAGGAGAGGCTGGGTCCAATATTGGGGTGTACATCCAACAAAACAGTATGTCAAATCAATTGATCAAACTTTCTCAGTGACATGTTAAGGGAGAGAGGATAGTGTGTGCATATATGATGTACCTCCAGCATCTCTCACACACACACACACACACACACACACACAAACACACACACACACACTTTGCCTTTTCTCGGTAATCCACACAAATGGCAGTGGATGGCAGAATGTAAATGAGCTGGTTATTACACAGCAACGTTCATCAAGCTGAGCTGGAAAGACTTCAATGGCCCTGATGAATATGCATGCAAATTTGTTAATTAAGTTAATTATTCTGCTGAAAATTCATTTGTCTTCCCAAGGACATTTCTGCGATGATTTTAACATGTTTCTACCATTAGTCATGCACGGTGCAATTGAAAATCACTTCTGTTCACCTTTTGGAAAGTTGCGGCCGAAAGGGGGATAGAACACCTACAAATGAGGAGGAGGAGGGTCGACGCAGGTAGAGGACAACATATCAGGGGCGTGGAGTGTGGTCGGAGGTAGACGGCAGCTGGTGCAGCCTGAGGATAAGGGATGGGAAGCCAAAAAGCATGGTCTGGATATTAGCTCAGTGGGTAGAGCGTTAAAGAGTTAGTGCCAGGTCTGCAGGTCCAGCTCTCACTGGGACCATCACAGCTACAAATGTTTCAGTCATTGTAATGCAAAGCACTTTGGTCTTAAATGTACAGTATGTTGTGTTGTGTTATGTTATTTTATATTACGTTATGTTATGTTGTGTTGTGTTAGTTTATGTTATGTTGTGTTGTGTTATGCTATTTTGTATAAGGCTATATTTTGTGATGTTATTTTGTAATGTGTTATGTTATGATATCTTATATTATGTTATGATATATCATGTTATTATATTCTATGTTATGTTATCTTATTTTGTGTTATGCTGTAATTCTGTGATTATGCTGCTGTGTCATTTGTTAATTGAGCATCCGTCGCTGTTTTGTTTTGTGACTGTGTTTTTTCTTCCAGACAGCAGCAGGTAAGTAGAGCAGGTGATCCAGACATATAGAGACGTGATGGTGTGGGACATGCAGACACAGGTTTCAATTGTTCCATTCGTAAAATTTGTGTTGAAAAATTATTTCAGGCAAAGTAAGTGAACAAAAGAAAAGGATCAAATGCATTAAAGGCAGTTGGGGTCTTTTATATCTTCTTGTAAGACGACCAGGACGAACACGTCTGTGTCAATTCTTTCAATGATAAGTGCATCACTGTGTAATCAATGATGAGGCCCAGTAATAATAAAACAAACTGCATGATGCCAATACCCATGTCCCCTCTAGTGGAGGAATGTGGAAACGCTGCATATGTGAAAAATAGACCAAGATGCAGCATGAGAGATGGATTATCATTAAAGTCTATGAAATGATCATTTTTTTAAGAATGGATCCCACAACACGTCACCCTCCTGCATTAAAGCAAAGACATGTGCCTATGCATTAATGTGTAGAGTAAGAGTGTGCAAAACAGTGGATCTAATCCTTTTTTACAACATTTCATTCCTGTGACAAATTTGATCAGGATGTGGTGCATTAGCGAAATGTCATACATGCCAGTGTGTGTCATACGAGGATTAAGTCATCTATATTTGTTCACTAAAACAGTTGTTTGTAATGATAAGCCAGACACACTTAATCAATTTGCACACATTTCCCTGACAGTCCAGATTAACAAGAAATAAGACTTTATTAGCAATGTGCACAAAGTACACACACACATTTACACGTTTGCAAGGCATCAATTAAATTCACATATGGTCGGTGCAATTATCGTTACAGATAACTGGAATCAAAGGAGCGATATCAATGTGAAAAAGGAGGGTAAGTTGCCCTGGAGAAAAGAAGCGCACAGAGTGAATGTTAGGGCCAGGGAGGGCTAGTAGCAGAGACTACGTAAGAAAACAACAACAGCTGTTTAGCTTGTGGCTAAAAACAGGATTGAACAACAACATAATTTGCTAAGAAAATGATCTGGGAAAAGAGATGCTAGTGACTCGGAGATAAGAAATGGGAGGCCTGAGATTGTTTTTTCTGTGGGGGCTCTGTAGGGTGGATATATTTTTCAGTTTTCTCATTTTTCTCTCCTGTATTTTGTGTTTTTAATTCTAACAATAAACTTCCTGAAATTTAGTTTGGATGCATATTTGTCTGAGTCAAATTTGAGACAATCTCACAAAGGTTTGATAATTTTTCTTACTAGAATCTTTTCACTCTAATCTGTAGACTTTAGAACGAATGCATTGCTTTATCATGGAAAGCCCATATATAGAATTGTGGGATAAACTGCTTTAGTATAATGCAGGTTTATATCTTGAACCTCTGTGAAGCATGTTGTGTTGACCGACTCCACACAGACACACAACAACACCAAATAAAGGTCATTGTACCTGCAACTTTTTACACGTCCACAGTATATTTATTTTTGCCACGCTTACACACACATTCCGATAATATTCGTTATAAAACCCTTTTCCCAGTGGCTGCCAGAGAACATGTGAGCACATCCGTGACTGCTCTGCCCTTGACTTGTATCCATTCATCCAAGCGTGCTGGATGGTTTAGTTAATTAAGCTTAATCTACCCCCAGAGACAGATATGAGTGCTGTTACAGTGGCCCACTGAGCTGTCCCTGTACACTCTTCTCTGGACCCCCCGTGGAGCCATCAGGGCCTCACTACTCAACCGTGTTCGACTATATTGACAGGGCTCTGGAGAAACACGTTATATGAAAGATTTGAAAGATTTGGACCAGAAAAAAGGAGGGAAATGACTTTTGCAGTATTTTGAATACCACAGCATACTGAAGGAATTTGTGACTCACATATTTTCTAAAGGAAAACTGACACAAAGTGCTGGGATGTGGTGTGAGACATACCTGACTGATTTATGTTGATCGTAAATACTCTGTGTGTTATGACATATTTTATTTTGTTGTCACACAGAAGGTGAGCCTAATGCACTGGCCCGGGCTGATTTGTAAAGAAGCGAAGAAGAAATAAATTAACTCAGATTCGCTTTATTTGCAGTTACAGTGGGTCCATGTGGAAACATTGGCTGGTTAATTGGTGCTTGCACATATGAAGACAGAGAATAAACAGATGTGGACAGAAATATAACATCGGATGTGCAGGTTATCATTTTTGACGTGCGTCTTGTGAGGGAAAAAAAATTCCTCATCGATTTTACCTTTTTGAGAAATATTTTGGTGACAAAAATATACGCACACCTAAAATATATATTAACCAATATGTTATTTTATAACCTGGTATGAAACATTTATAACACGTACATTTGCTCATATTGGCACATCGTCATTGTCACTACTATAAACACCCACCTTCAGGCCTTTAGTTCACAACAGCTATTACCACAGCGACATTAAAGCATGAGATAAACATTCAGCGAAATAATTACAAATGAAACTGACGCCTCACAGTGTTTTCTTCCAGTTTAACAGATACATTGAATGTCAGTATATTATCTACATCATTTGTCTGCTTGAATAAAAATACACCAATTAAATCTTCCAAGTTAAATTGTATATTTTTTTCATTCTCATATTTTTCATCCATTGTTCTTGCATTTCTGATGATCTTTGGTTGGACTTGTTTTTTAAGTTACCGTCCTCAGATGTTTGGAATGGAGTCTTTTACAAGCCTGGACTTCTTGTTCTTCTTGTATTATAGAAGACATGTGATTTTGAATAATAGTAATAATAGACTTTTATATATATATCACCTTTCAAAACAATAATTACAAGGTACTTTACAACTTTAAAATTAAAAATCGAAGGCAAACAGCTGAACACAGTTAAAAAGCAATTTGAAGATCACACAGCACAGATACAGAAATAAAATATGTTGAGTAGAATATTACAAAATAAAACATTGGACATTTTGTAAGAGAAAGCACAGCAATAAGAACGTGTCTTTAAAAGAGGTTTGTAAGAGGATGAGGAGTTTGCCATATGGTTCTTGTTCCAAAGAGTGGGAGCCCTGAGAGAGAAAGTCCAATCATCTCATCAAGAGCGACATCGACTAGATGGAGAACTCTTCCCCACTTGTAATCGATGTGATTGTCAGTCGGTTTTGTCTACAGGGGATGCTAGTTGTGCGGTGGACCCTGCTCTTCAGCATTTTCTTCAGGTGATTCTTGAATTTAACCCCCACAAACACATAAAACACAGGGTTGAGGCAGCAGTGTGAAAAGGCAAAAATCCGGCTGACGTAAAAAGCATAGTCCAGTGGTCTCTGTGTCTCACAAACTGCAACCAAATCCTTTGAGTCAAGGGGCTGTTGCTCCCAGACATAAAATGACCTTAGAAATATCACTATGTTGTAAGGTGCCCATCCCACAAAGAAAACCACCATGAGAGTAAAAATGAGTTTCAAAGTTTTGTTCTTTCTTCTTCGGGCAGTAGGACGCAGCAGCCTGCATATGATCTGAGAATAGCAGAAAGTGAAAACCAAAGCACTCACCATGAAGACGATATTCTGCTGGTAGATTCCAAATAAGCTCCAGTAAGAATTCGTATAGACGCAGTGATTCTGGTCTATGACTTTGGTGAAGATGTAGGCCGGACTGGAAATTAAGATACTTGTGGCCCAGATGATCACAGATGCTAAGACGCTGTAGAAGCCGGTGGTGGACACAATGTCAGACAGAGGATTCATGACAGCTACATAGCGATGAGCAGTCATCAAGATGAGGAGGACGCCGCTGCTGTAGAAGCCAACGTAGAAGACAAAGTTGATTGTTTTGCACGCAGCTTCCCCTAAATTCCATCCGTACATGTGGTAGTAGGCCCAGAAGGGCAGACCCGCGGTGAAGAAGATGTCCGACACAGCCAGGTTCAGGATTAAGGAGTTGGTGAGGGATTTGAGATTCTCATACTTGGCGAGGATCACAATCATCAGGATGTTGCCGAACAGACTGAGGATCACCACGATGGAAAGAAAAACCAGAGTGAAGATTGCTCCAAACTGCACGAGGCTTGTTTTGTCACAGACTTCATCTTCATAGGTGCTGGAATAATAATAAGGGTCTAAGGTTGTGTCGAGGGTTGAGGTGGCGTACACATCCATTTTCCTGCAAGAAGAAGAAAATCTTACATAAAAAGAAGTAACTAACAAATAAATGACATATTGTTATGTTGTGTTTTCATGTTGGAATCCATCACTATGTTTTCAGGGAGTTTAAACATTTCAATATGAAATAATAACCGTCAATAAACATTATTACCATCGTACATCAGCAAGGGATTACTTTACTTTATTTGACTGTCAGTTACGGCCAGAGGATTTTTTTCTTTTGAATGGCTGGATAAAATAATAAAAATTCCTTCTCCTTAGATTCAGCCTCATGTTAACAAACACTTGATAGAAATATAGAAACATACTGAACCTCCACAAAGTCGTTCACCTGCCAGCGTCCTTTCTGCAAATGTCAGTGAATACTTGGTGAACTCGGTTCCTTTTGTATCGACCACAAAGGTGAACAGAAATTCTAACCACGCAACAGGACACTCATTGAGCAATGAGACTTTCACAATGACTTAAACCAGTTGTTGTTATTGTCATCTGACTTCAACAGTATTGATGAACCATGTCAATCCCACTTTTGTCAGTAAAAGAAGAAACTAAGATGACAATGATAAAGTCCTGCTTTATGTTGTTAGTTGTGTTACTAGGGTTAGAGTGAGGTGAGAAAACAAAGCAGTATTCTTTTAGTACTTTCTTTGTAATGTTCCAAAACTTTATTTAATATTGTGATTTTATGTTTTTAATATAAAAACTGTATCATTGTAATTATTCTCTTTATTATTAAAAACCCATTTCTTGTAATATTGAGAATCCCTCCAACATAAAACTATTCTAACATCATATTTCATTTTTAAAAACACTTTTTATAAAATCCTGTTCATCTGTCGTTTGTCTCTCAACCAAACCTGAAAGGATCCCCAGCAGAGGCGGGCGCCTATTGGACGGTCAGACCCGTCAATCGCCGCCAGTGCCCGCCCCCCCCCAGCGGTAGCAAGTTTCTGCGGTCCCAGCCTCAAACCTGGATCCTGAACACTGAGAGCGAACAAGTACGTTCATTTATCAACTCTACATCTAACACTCAGGTGTTTGTCCTGTTCATTTACAACCGAACTGCGAAATCCTGTGAGAGAGAGAGTCACGCAGAGTAAAGAGACGAGGAGGAGCTGAGGAGCAGAGGAGCAGAGGAGCAGGTGCAGTTCTTCTGGGTTTGATAGATCCAGTGTTTACGTCGCAGCTCGAAGCGTCAGGAGGTCTGATGGTTTGACTCAGATAGAGAAACGTCTCTGATGTGAAGCTGTGGTTTGATGTGACTGTGGAGAAGAGCAGGTTGTGTCAGTCAGGTCTGATCAACACGCTGCTGCTGCTGCTGCTGCTGCTGTTGTTGTTGTTGTTGTTGTTGTTGTTAACCTGACTCCTCACTGAGGTCTCTCCAGTCTGTCAACACATCCATGTTCCAAACATTCAGCTTCACACAAACAGGACTGCACAGACTGGTCTGTTGTTTTCACTGCAAGCTAAGTTAGATCAATACTAGCTTAATGTTTCCCAGTGGTAGCAGCTCTGTCACACTTGTTTTTCTTTATGCATATATTCTTAAAATTTAAGGGACAATGTTGAAATCATGTGATCATTTCAGAAATTAAATTAAAATGTCTCTGTTTTAATCCATCATGCAGAATTTCCTGACACACCCCCCCTCCCCACAATGGCCTCCTGCTCATCGGTTGGAGATAATCAACTGCAGAGGATAATCAGAGATCTGCATGGTAATTAAGCCATCCACACATAGCCAACCATAAACAACATATGTGTCCTACAGCGTGCGGTGTTACTGCATGTGTGCCACGCGACACGGACCGCAATTAAAAATAGAAAGAAAAAAAAAAGGAGGTATCAAGGTAAAACACAAGACAGAAGGAAAACAGCATTTTAATCCCAGAATAATTATTCACTGCAACATCTGGATCAGTCATAGATCTCTGTCAGGAAGTGTTTCGTGAATGATGAGGATCCATGAATAATAGAAATGTTGCAGAAATGATTGTGGGAGTTAGGGCTGGGCAATAAAGCAACATCAATAATTATCACAATGTAATTTTCATCAATAGCAAAGTTTCACTATATGTGGATATAATGCGTATGCAGTGTGCAAGCACAGTGAGAAGGAATTACACATCACTAAATTACATCAGATTCGTTTTTTGCTATTTATCAAGTGTTTCTTTACACCTAAAAGGAATAATAATGTGACATTTATCCTGATGATTCTCAATATCAACTGATAGGAACATTTTGTTCTTAATCTTAATTAATATTTTGCCACATCATCTAGTCCTAGTGGGAGTAAAATAAGATGTGGATTATCTACTATTTTCTGCCTTCTCTGTGTACACAAGAATATAAAATGGTATTTGTGTGTGTGTGTTCATGACATTATGAGTATTTTGTTTAGATGCTGTTTTGGAGTTGAGTAAAGAACAGAGGGAGTGTGGTGAACCGATAACTGATGACAGCTCCAACCTCCACAAGTTCTTCTATAAACTAGAATACCTGCTACAGGTACAGTACCCACCTGTATTTTATTTATTATTTAAATGATGATAAATCTGCCACCACTTACCGTCTTGATCAACTTGTGTGATCAACACAGTGAAAGGTTTTCAGAACTGAAGGTATTACAGCTTTGATCCAAAAAACATTCAGTTTTCTTGAATGTTCTTATTTAAGAGGCTGGAAAAACATGTTTGGCCCCTTCTCTTTAAAAAAAAGTGACTTGCAAATAACATAATCACAATGTGTTTTAGCTGGAACAGTAATTACAACCAAACTTAAAGTAGTTTGTTTGGAGTGAGAATTTCAAAGTGTGCTATCAGCCCTCCTTAGACTCTCTGAACCAAGGGTGTCCTGCTGGATGTTCATCTAAAGGGTGATGAGGGGATTTTTTTTAGTAAAAAAAAAAGAGAAGAAACTTTTTCTCATGTGTGATTGGTTTCATTCTGAGGAATTAAAAACTGAACTTAAATCACATCTAGAAGGGAACTCAGACAGCTTGCGCCTCTGCCAAGGCCCAACTTTCCCATATTTTCATCAAGATCCATGAATTATTCTTTGAAAAATCAATCAAAATTTTGAAAAATCTGGCAGTAAAAAAAAAAAAAATCCTGGAATCACCCCCTGATCCAAATCCCTACCAAAAACTGAGTTTTTTTCCTCACCCATTTGGTGGTAATCTGTTCAGTAGTTTTTTATATAATCTTGCTGACTAACAAACAAACAGATGTAAACAGAACCTTCTTGGTGGAGGCAGTTATACACATTAGTGTCTGACAGAAATGTTGCACAATCCACATCGAGAACTTTGCTATAATAAGACAGTTTGTTTTTAGTTCGACCAGAAAGAGAAGACAACCTTTCTTGGCCAGAGGAAAGACTACTGGGATTACTTCTGCGACTGCCTGATTAAGATCAAGGGAGCTAATGATGGCATCCGTTTTGTTAAGTCCATCCCTGAGGTAATCTTCCGGTGCAACAACACACACACACACACACACACACACTCTTCTTGTCTTCAGCCCTGCCATGGCATGCAACACATATACATACACACAAATGCGCAGTGACAGTGCAGCCCTGTTAGTAATCCTCTATACAGTCAGGACCAGTAAGTCTCTGTGCTGCTAATTCACTGCCTCACACACTCCTCCTGCACTGTTTCCTTCTGTCCTGAGGATCCCCAGTGGTGAGCTTCACACTCGACTAACTGCACTTGACTTAGCCTTAGTTTGTATTGTCTTTAATTTGTAGCTTGTTCAAACTGTTTAAAAATGTTTCACAAATGAAATGTTTTTATTGGCTTTGCCTCATGAGAGATGTATGGCAAATACAATCCAGGTTCTTCTCTAACAGGGCTGCAAATAACAATTGTTTTCATTATCAGTGAATCTGTGTTTATTTAGGTTTTATTTATCTGATTGTTTGGTCAATAAAAAAGTAGCTTTTTGAATGTGTGTGTGTGTGTGTGTGTGTGTGTGTGTGTGTGTGTGTTCGTGTGTGCAATGGCTCTTGCTGGTCATCCACAGCTTTTCAAAGAAGTAGATGCAGAGCCCAAGGACTTAACATCTGTAAAAAAAAAAAAACAAGAAAACAAAAAGTTTTGACGCCAGCGTAGGCGAAGAGAGTCAACACAGGGAGCCTAGCATCTCAACAACAGAAATGTTGACCTGTTTGAATTTGAAGAGTGATTGAATGTGATGAAACCTCTTTATATACAGTCTATGGATGAAACATAGAAATTGAAGGGAAATCAGTGTTTCCTACATGTATGGTGGTTTTTCATGCTCAGTATGTGTGAGCAGGGATTGAGGGAGTACTAAGTGATGGGTACATTCTGGGATTCTATTCTATTTGAAAGGTGTAGGATAGGTGGACAGTGAGGGTCAACCAAAACATGTCAACAATCAACTAAGATGGTTTGTGTTGTACTCACCAATGGTATTTTCTTACATTCGGTGAATGGCGGAGCTCCTTTTCTTTGTTGATTTAGGGGTTGTCCTCAAAAGTAACATAGTTCAGTTGATAATAGCTGACTGCCATTAACTTGTTATTTGAAATATATTATGATATATAATAGAATAGTAGAATGTCACTCAGTGGAGTGCACACTCAATGTTAAAGAAAGTGAATTCCTGAATCCGCCCCCTGATCCAGATCTGCTCCTTAATATCGTGGAAACTTTTCTGATCCATTTCACATCTTTACACCAAGTCTGTGTAATTTTGCTAGAAAAATATAATATACTAGAATATAATATTTTTACTCTTCTTTAGCTCGTTATGTTTCTTGTTGGTTAGTCACAGACATAAGGGAGCCTCCAGCTGGTGTCCTTATGGTAGATCTGTGAGTCTGTTGTCTTACCTAAAGCCCCCATCTGTCAACATATTCCAGAGTCTGAGCTGGAGAGTGTCTACGCTGCGATGACCTTTTCACATCTAAAATGTTTTTGTGCTGGGGCCCATTTGAACAAAATACACTTTCTCCAGGGTAATTTTAAAACAAAAGTCTGTGTGGAGGAAACCAGCAACGATAATTAAAGATTCTTAACACCGTGCTAAACATTTGAGGACGATACAGCGAAGAGAAACATCTTAATGTTTTATTCCTTCCTCTGTCAATTATTACAATTAAAGCCTCACTTATGTGCAGTATTTATAACATGAATTCAAGCCTGCTGAATATATTTTTTATGCCTGTTTGTATTAATTTTATTTGTCGTGTGTTTCATCTTCTCCAATGTGAGGACTTTCTGCTTTTTTAGTTTTATATTAACATAAGCTGAATCTTTTGGGTTTTCAGTCAGAAGAATAAACACATTTGAAGGTAACGTCTTAGTCTTAGTCTCTGATTGTATAGACTTAGTGGGGAACTGATTTAGAACAAAAGTAATACACTGATGAATTGATATTGAAAATAATTGATAGCTGCAGCCGAGTAGTGTAGTAGAGTATAAAGCATTATAAAAATGTTTCAGTACACTAAATAGAATTTTGTTGTGCGTCCTCAGTTGAAGACGTCGCTGGGGAAAGGACGGGCCTTCATCCGCTACTCACTCGTTCACCAGCGTCTTGCCGACACGCTGCAGCAGTGTCTTATAAACCAGAAAGTCACAAGGTCAGAGGAGACAGATCTACGCACACACATCTCTATATTTTTAGCACATTTGCTCACTTGAAATTAGCTACAAGAGTTTTTACAACACAGAAGATGGTTTGGTGGCATCGTTTCTCAAGAAGTGCGTCTGTCTCTTCCGAATTTATGTCCTTAGTTCTGTTTTTACAGGACAAAGAACCCTCCACACCTCTCACTTCCTCTCTTTAATTAGGCCAAACACATGGAATTTCTTTTCACTTTATTTTACCAGATATATTTTTTTTAGTGCCAGTCAGTGTAAGTGTAAATTGCATTAATCACATTGCTTAACAAACATTATTTTGCATCCATTAAAACGTGTGTGTGTGTTTACTATATATATTGTTGTGGTTAATTGTTTGTTTCTTCCGATGCAGTGACTGGTATTATGCCCGGAGTCCATTTCTTAAGTGTCACCTTACCGCTGACATAATCAACCATCTTTATGAGCTCAACCAGATCCAATTTGACGTGGCGGCCAGAGGTTATGACCTCGATGCAGATTGGCCTTCCTTTGCGAGGTGACAAATACCTGCACTCACTACTGTTTGCACTTTGACAATAAGCAGCTTTCTTTTGTTTTTGAACACAAAACACAAATGTTTCTTTATGTGGGAATTATTCTTTGTATTGTGATGTGACAAAGACACTTGATTAACAAATGGAAGGTTATAAATCCTCATGGGGTCGGAAGTAATCAGCAAATTGATTAGAGAAAGACACTTTGTTATAACACACCAATTAAGTCCATTTAATGTAAGATTACGTCGCTGTGGGTATTTTAGAACGTGAAGAAACACTTAATTATCTGATCATTCTGCACCTTCACAGCCCTTTTTTTGCTTGAGGGTGTGTAAATGTGTGTATAAGAGGATGTGGGTGCCGACAGTGTGTGAACATTAATCACCATTGTTCATGTCAACACCTTTGCCAAAACCTTTCACTTCCTTCAGTTGTTGTTTTATGGAATCACATCACAGGGGTTATTATTTAGCTTCTGTAATATGCCTACAATAACATAAGCTGTGGCATGAAGAATTACCTACAAATAGTTAAAGTGGCACATGTCACAATCCTTTTTTATTTTTCAAATAGATCAATATCTGTGTTTGAAAGGGATTTATTTTATTGTTTTGAGTTGTAATGTATTTAACAGTTAATTTAAGGAAGTTCCTTTATCGCCACTAAATTATGTTATGTTAATTAGAATTAATAACATTATTTCCAGTTTCTTTCCTAAAATCTTGTGTTCCAAAAAGTGTTCAAGTTAACAGTCAATTCTGTCAGTGTTAGTTCCTCTTTTGTGCTTTTTAATCAGCTGGATGTTGACGTTTTTACTCTGATGATTTATCAGGTGTTGAATGATCTTGACCTTTGGTTTTTCATTGTGCTAAAGGCGAACATTAAGCACAGCCTCACCAGCTTTCCTGTGGAAACCTCCAAGTCGCTGCTCCAGCATCAACAGTTTGGTTAGCAGCTATTCACACTCACAGGTACTTTCACATACCAACAACATACCAAAATATAGTAAAAGCTGGAGTAATTAAACTATGGTTTGGCAAGCAGTAAACAAACAGTAACATGTATCCTCTGTTGCCTATATATTCATAATTTGTTTCTTTTTATTTCATGAATTGTGGCATGTGTTTGAGCAGCCTGCTTCTTGTGAATCATTTTTTCAATCAGTGTAATCTGCTTAAGATCATGACAATGAAAAGTAATAGCTGAACGTCTAACATTTGAAAAGCAGCTCACTTTCACGTTAAAAATCAAGAAAATATACAAACTTGTTTTTTTGACGTGTGACTGTTTGAAGCGTCTGACCCCAGCTCTCTTGTTCCATCCATTCACCAGGCACAGGAGTTTCTTCCAATCCCAGACTTGAGTCACAGTCTCCTTGGTGAACTGGGAGAACTCGGGGAACCCTCTCCTTGCAGTATTGCAGAGAATCTCCGCATTGAGCTCGATCAGTCCGAGCTCAGACAGCAGGAGCTTCTGGTGCAGGTTCAGGAGTTAAGCAAGGAAGCTGCTGAGCTGAAAGGCGTGGTGAAAGAGCTGCAAGGAGAGCTGGCAGCTCAGAAGTCGTCTGGACACTTGGCATCAGCTGAAGCTGGTGATGGGGGAAAAAATCGACTTCACACTTGTAGGGAGGCAATAAAAAGCGAATTTCAAGACAGACTCACATCTGCTGAGAACAAAAATATGGAGCTTCTCTCTAAGTTGGACGAAGCACTCAAAGAAAAAGGCCAACAAACAGCAAGCTACTGTGACTCAGCCTGGAAAATTCAGGAACTTCTGGATAAACTTAAGACATCAGATGAGGAGAGACTGGCAGCAAAGAGAGAGTCTGAAGACAGGGCCAGAATCTCTGAGCGTCTATCACAGGAACTCAAACTAAGGGATCAAGAGTTGAGAGACAGTGAGGAGAAACTTGCTGAGGTAAAATCTGGAGCCCATGACGAACGGGAGGAGGCGCTGAGAAGGTTGGAGGAGCTCCAAGGGGTCGTGGGTCGAATTCAAGGGGCGTTGAGTTTGAAAGAGAAGGAGACAGGGAACCTAAGAGCCCAGCTTCAGGGTCTACAATCATCTCTGGAGTGCAGAGAGCGACAAGCAGAGGACCTGAGGAAAAGGCTGTGGGAGGAGAGAGAGGAGGTAGAGCAGAGATGTAGCAGGAGTGGCAGCGAGAATGAGGAACTCGAGAGCCTAATGTTGGATTTAAGAAAAACCCTTAAAAACAGAGAGAAAGAGCTTGCTGTTAGTTCAGAGAGAATAAAACACTTAGAGGAGCAGGTGGAGAAGTTCAATATTGAGAAAGAAAGTCTGAGCTCTAGACTCTCTGATAATGAAGTCGCTTCCTGTAATCAAACCGAGAATGTTGAGGACTTCAAAACACAATGCAGCAATCTCATGGAAAGAAACACAAGGCTTCTCCAAACAGTAAAGAAGAGTGAGGATAACGTCACAGAGCTAACAGAGAGCAGGACAGCCTTGTTAGATCAGCTGGCTACTTTGAGGGCATCGGAGAAGCACTTAAAAAGTAGAGTAGAGTCTATGAATGTGTGTGTCGACGCCCGGGAGAAGAAGCTTCTCGATGACAACCTGCATTTGGAAGAGACTGTTCAAAATGCACTTGTCCAGAAGGAAGTGTCAGATGCTCAATTGAAGAAGCAAGAGCAGGAGAACAGAGACCTTCTCGAGGTTCAATCATTGTTGAGGAAGCAGTTAGCAAGAACCCAACAGGAGTTGGACTCCGTCGCCACCAAAGCTGCAAAGTTGGACAAGAACCTCACAGCGTCTCAAAGAAGCCAAGCAGAGTTACTTGAGAAGCTAGAGGAAACTGAGGCAAAATTGAGAGACCAGACTGTTAAATGTGGACTTCTTCAGGCTCGAGCAGAGGAGCTGGAGAGCAGGAGCGGAGAGCTGCACGATGAAAAGGGAGCTGCAGAGAGTAATGAGAAAATGCAGAAGCTTCATGAAGGACATCAGAGTTCCTCAATGGACACCAAAGAGGGTTCATTCAGGCTGGTGATAGCTGAGGCTCAACTGGAGCTCAACCTAAGGGAGGTGCATCGGCTCCAGGAAGAGGTGGTGGAACTCAGGGCTCAGCTATTGGCAGGAACTGAGGAACGAATGAAAGTTCAGGCCCTGCAGGAGGTGACAGAGTCCTCCAGAGAAGACCTCCGAGCTTTAGCAGAACAACTCAAGGCCCAGGTGGAGGAGCTAAACCGCCATCACGTGGATGAGATTCTCCGTTCCCGAGAGCGAGAGGAGGCTCTCATCCGTGAGCGAGATGGTGAGGCTCAGGCTCGAGCAGGTCTGGCTGCAGAAGTGACCGCCTCCAGAGAGGAGCTGAACAAACTGAAGCTGCGCTATGAAGCCATGTGTCTGGAGAACAGTGAATCCAGGGAGGCGCTGCATAGAGCAAACACAGAAACCGCTGAGCTTGGCGTGCATGTTTGCATGCTAACCGCTGAGAATGAAGAGGCTCGTCTGCGCTTTGAGGGCCTGTCGACAAGGCTGCAAGAGCTGGAAGACGAGGCGTCTCAGGAAGCTGAGAGGCGGAATAGCTGCGTGAAGGAATTACGGCAAGAGAACCAGCAACTTCTCAATCAGCTCCATAATGAGGGCGATCTGTTGGCAACCAAGCAGAAGCTGCAGAAGCTGAGCGAGGCCCAGCAGGAGGCTGAATCTCTGCAGGAGACGAACCAGGAGGAGATCCAGGCACTCCGCTTCCAGCTCAGCAGCCAGGCCATGAGCCAGGGCAGCCAGCTCCAGGTCAGATACAAACTATATAAATGTTTCATGCTTCATTGTATTCAAATGCTTTTAAGTCACCATGTTTGCTTCAGGGTGTAAGTCTGAGGATAAAGTTAGAGAATGAGAGAAACCTGATTTTTCTTAAGGTAGATTATTGGTGGAGAGTGTTTACAGGAAATGGTTTCTGCTCTACTTTTAACAAGAATAAATTAAAGCAAATCCGCAGCAGTGTCTGAAATTTTACCTTTTTTGCAAAGCCATTTGTGTGATAAACTCGATAAACAGATTCTACATGTGAATATGCAGAATTTCTGGGTGAGGGCAAACATTTTGGGTCTGGAAGCCTTCTGGTTTTCTACCAATCACGTTCGAGATAGCTTTAATTGCCCACAAGCAAAAAGTCTGTGTGGAGAACAAAAAAGATGCAACACATTGACCAAAATGCTTCAGCTATCTGCTTTTTAATTTATCTTCCGTTGCTAGTCAGACTGCAAGCACTGTCTCGACAACGTCGGGTCTCAAGTACGAGTCTCGGCCAGGAAATCCACTGTCTACTCCGGAAGCTCCAAAATATTGGCTGCTGCCTTCAGAGGCTAATATGTCTTGAGATGAGAGCTGATGGGCTTTTGAGATTGTCTATATGATTAATCTGTGATTCATATTCTCACACAGAGTGTAAACCACGAGTTACAGGAAGTGAAATTACATCTGACGACTGAGCAGGAGAAAGTGGTGGATCTGGAGAACAAACTCACCAAAATAGAGGTGAGAGGAGAACCTGCTTCTGACACAGTTCTGTTCCATGGTATAATGAAACACATGGAACAAACCGCATCCACATTTACTTTGACATTAACTAACGTTGTCAAGCAGTCCAAAGCAGGTTTGATATTATTATTGACAGTCGTAATTTCACTGCACATCTTCAGTGGTTGTGGACGTGGAACTGAAACCATGTTAAACGTGGGCTATGCTGCCGACAACGCTAGCATAGAAAGTCTCTAATAACGTGTATATACATTTATCTTTATGGGTACAAGTGTCTCAGATTGATGAATGAAAATGCTAATCTGCAAATGAAACATTGTGGGGTTTTTTTGCAACTGAAGTAATCAAAATGTTATGGTCACAAGCATAATTCACAAAGAACCAGAAATAATGCCTCGCTTTGCTTTGCTGATCGCAGGCTGAGAATCAGAGATATTGCCAACAGATTGAGGAGAAAAACATCCAGATGGCCGAGTCTGAAAATCTCATGCAGCAGAAAGAAGACGAGATAATCCATCTGAAAGAGAATTTATCAAGGTGAGATACTGTATTCATAATCACACATTCTGGACCAAATTAAAGCTCTGTGAAATCAAATGTTTCCGATCTCGGGTGTTTGGATCAGAATGTTTGTTTTTTTATTTACTTTGCCTTTTCGAGGAAATTTGCATTCTTTTTCTCACACGCAGGTCTGAGGTGGGTCTCGAAGCCGCTCAGCAGACATGTCAGGAGATGAGTGAAAATCTACGGAAAGTCAAACAGGACAAACAGAGCTTGGATCTGAAGACAGCTGCTGAACTTGATGACCTTTACCGCACCAAAATCAATCTGGAGGAAAGACTGATAGAACTCATCAGGTATAAACAGACTGAAAATATGCCCAGATTTAGTCTCTCTGATCTACTTTTGCTTATGATTTATAATTTGTAACAAATCAAAGCAGAGTTGAGCTTCAGTGCGTCTGGATTTTCTGTTTTCAAATGGCCTCAACCAAAAACCCAGCTTGTATAATCTACATTAAAAGTTGAATTGTGGTTGTTTTTTGCTCTTTGCAGGGAGAAAGATGCACTTTGGCAGAAAACAGATGCCTTGGAGTTTGAGCAGAAACTGAGGGATGAGGAGACGGAGAGGGACGTGAACTACTGTCTCGGCTGTCACAGTCAGTTCAGCTGGTGGCTCCGCAAGTACAATTGCAGGTCAGATAGTACTCTGTGTAATTAACACATACACATGTCACTATGCCAACCAATTACAGTACTATCAGTACTACTGGTTTTTGAATAATAGTGTAATGACAGTTGATAGTTTGTTTGGTCTGTGGTAATGCTGCTTGCAGCTTTTATTCTGAAACGGTAAAAGTGACCTGCAGTAATAGAGCTGTGGTAAATAAAGACTGCTGGAGAGCTGTTCATTTGTTTATTCAAAGTTTGGTGAAGCTCCACTCAGTACGCCGCACCCTGAACTGGAGACTCAGTTGCTCAATTGTTAGGAAGGACAATTTCACTTCCGTTGCTGAGTCTCAGCCGCTCCTGCTGCAGAGCGCTGGTCACATGTTTATTCAAAGCTTTTCTCTATTAAATGCATCGCTGGTCCAAATCTTTGGCCCCTTAATACACATTGTACTGTGTGAAACAACATTAATTATTTGATCTAAAAACTGTCTCTTATGCACATTTTACCCAAATGTCATAAGTATGGTTTTGTGCATCGTTTTCACATAAATACGATTTTTCGGAACTGAGTCACAGACGCCCATTTTGATTCTGTTTTTCACTTCTCATTTTGACTTATGACCTGATGCATTATTGGGAAGTCAAACATCCCCAACTGATGACTCACCAGTATCCATCAAAGCTCCACATTCAGGAACCGGGATGTCTACTACACTCCAACCAGATTAGACGCCATGTGATGGCTGTTGACAGTTCTCGTATTAAGAAGAATGCCAATCAGTATATATCATTATATCCTGTTTCCACTGGTTTTCCTGACTTAAAGAAACGTTGCATTTGTCTTACACAACCAGACCAGACTGAACTTACAGAAAGAGACTTGTAAGCTCTCAGCATCACTGAAGTATTCCTATTGTTGACTAGTCTGAGGTTTTAAACAATAAACAACTGTAACAAATACCTTAAGATTAAATCATGTGTTTGTGGTTTACTTATTTTCATTTTATGTGTTTAAAGTCAAAAAAATATATTTTTAGGAATTGATTTTAAAACTTGACCCAGAAAGCTTCACTTACTCACAAACTAATGAATCCTCTACACTATCATGCGTTTAAAAAATAATGAGCCTTTCCATTCGCTCTCTTCATCTCCATCACGTTGTATCTGCTGTTTTTCTAGACTGTGTGGGCGTCCCTTCTGCTACTACTGCTGCAGCAACACAGTGAGCACCCAACAGGGCGGCAACAGAGAACGCTGCTGCACAGACTGTTACAACCAGCACAGTGCAGTAGTGGAGCGCCACCCGCAGGAGGAAGTGATGCACAGCACACCAGGGACACCTTTCAGCCGCTTGCTGCAGGCGGGGAGAACTGTGACTGCTGGGCCAGGTAACAGAACACACACACACACACCTATCTGTTGAATAATAAGGTATTAGCACATTTGATTTTAAAGTCATTAATGTTTTGACAATAGGATCTACAGTACAGTGAGCGTGCAATGAAAACAAGAATTATTGTGTTTTTTCTAGGACCTGGTGAAAATGAAAAACTGGATGATGGTGTTTTTGACATCATCACAGACGAAGAAGTGAGCGGCGTCAGTGACTCCCTCTCTTTTGCCACTGCCTGCTCTCCTGAGCACGGACAGCAGGGGGCAGCACAGCTGTAAGTATCTTGCATGAAGCCCCTGATGGGGACTGAGGGAGTTTACACACATGACACCATCTCCTTAGTCTGTCTCAGTTTGATTCTTGGATATCACAGCCGGAAAACCAGAAATATTTGCAGCAGTGAGAAGAAATTCAGCAGAAATTATCAGTAAAAATGAATTTGAATCAGTTACTCATGATTTGGATTCGTTCAGGTTTATAGTTTTTTTCATACATTATCTATAACAAAGATTTACTACTCTAACACACACACAAATTTGCACTTTGACATTCCCCGCACAAGTGGACAGTAGAAATGTGTTTATTTTACATTTACTGTTCCCCACAAACTGATGATTTTTAGCTTAAAATATCTGTCACTTTCTCCAGAAGCAGCAGTGCTAGTGCAGGAGACATCACATCAGAGGATACCGAGGACCTCAGTGCTTCCCTGCAGGATGCAGAGATCTGCCTGCTGAAGTCTGGAGAACTCACGTGAGTTTATCACATGTAGTGAAAGTTACACTAGAAAAACTGAATTGATGCAGTCACAAGTTTCAGTTAAACTCTCAGAGGAAGTTCCCTAAAACTATTTCCTGGAGAAAACTTATAGCCAAGAGCAAAAAACAAGAAGTGAAATATGAAACTAATCTACATGCTGCATAAGAAGCTTCCCTAAATGTTACCTGGGTCAAATGCTGTGTCCTCTGTTCCTATATAGACTAAGAGCAATTGAGTTGCATCCTGGGTAATGGAAGAGCTGGGTTTTATTGTTGGATTGTTGTTTGGAAGCAAGCAATTTGATCAACCTGGAAACTGTGACAGCATTATTACTTCCTTTGATCAAACACTTTATTGATATAGTGAAAATACTTGTCAATTGCGGCTCTCCAACATTGTGTCCTGGTATTTTTTCCCTTCAGACTGTCTGTCCACTTCACCATCGATGACATCTCCGGGTTTGGGGACAGCTCCCAAGAGCTTTTCATCAAATCCAGCTGTTACAGCACCATCCCCATCACCATGAGCAGCCCTGGTCCCACTGTTACCTGGACGTTCACCTCTGAGCCCAAGAGCATCTCCTTCAGTGTGGTCTACAGGGAGAGCGCAGAGACGCCGCTGGAGCAGGCCAAGGTGAGACACTGGGACGTGTGCGAAGTGGAAGTGCAAACACAATGCCAGCTTTTAGGGATGGGCTCTGGATGAATCCCTTCTCGAATCTTTTGCTTGTCTCTTAAATAACAGATATATGCAAAGATAATAAACTCCATGCTAACTCGGTGACCCTGTTAGGGAAACTGAGCACGGCAGCTATGTAATGTGCTGGGTGTGTATATAAACACATGTTTGCATATAAACTTTGAGGGTGATGATGTGTCAGTGTTGTGACCACAGTTTCGGCTGCTCTCAGGTAGCACATAAAAATCTGCACTTTGGATTATCGCACTAATGTCACACTTAAGTCAATAATACTATTCGTAAATGCTGCATTTGTGGAAGGAGGGATTTAAATGTCTCAAGATGGATGAGTTCACTGCCTCAGCATACAGCTGGTATTACACTGCAATCTGTCCCCTGTCAGATTCTGTGACCTATAGTGAAACAATGATGGCAGCTTAAGGTAACTTGTTCTGCATTTTGCATGTAGGATTCTTTTCTTATTTAGTTTATTTGCTGAAAAATAAAGTAGAATAATGTTGTCCCTTTGTGTTTTTGCTTCTGCAGCACACCAGTGCCCCTCTAAGAAGCAAAAATATTTTCCCTCACAGCAAAAGACAAAACGATTCAGGAAAGAGTTCATTAAAAAACAGCAGTGAGGGACCATAAAGAGGAATCTTAATCTTAATCTTAAACATATGTGGTGAAAGTCCTACCTGTCATCACGGCAGAATTAATTTAGATTCCAGTGAAATAACTCAGAGGGTTTTTTATTCCCAGGGATTCAAAACTGGAAGCAGATTTGATGAATGTGTCGACCCCCATCATTCGCTCACCCTTTCAGATTTGTCCTGAATCTATGCAGATATATTTCTCTGCTGTAAGCATAAATGCCAAATCCGATCCCACTGTGCAGGTTTTGATCCCACTGACTCGCTGTAACTCCCACAAAGAGACGATCCAGGGGGAACTGAAAGTCAGGAACCCCGGAGAATACACACTCATCTTTGACAACTCCTTCTCCAGGTCAGTCGCCCTGTCCTGTCATTCACTTCTTTTTCTCACACAAGGTATTCCCATGTAATAAAAACTTTAGTCACTCGTAAAAAACCAGACTGGGAGGAGTGATATCAAACGTAAAGCAAACATTTCTGCTTCTCCTGTTAACCAGGTTCATCTCAAAGAAAGTGCTGTATCACCTGAGTCTCGACAGGCCCGTGGTCTACGACGGCACTGACCTCCTCTGAGCGTGACAGGAGGCACCGTGAGCAGGTGTGAAACCGACTCTTGAATTCTGGGTGTTTTGAGCTCATGCGCATGACTTCGAGGTCCCTGGGTTGGAGTCCACTGACGTTCATCCGCCTCACGGGAAGCTTCTGGCATTTTTAAAAACATCTCTCTCAGCGTGCGGCTTGCCGATGATTTCTGATCATACGAGAGCTGAACAAAGGTAAAAATCAGTGGAGTAAAACAATGGTGTACTGGTTAATGTGAGCATGCACTACCTTTTATAAAAGCTTGACGTCGTGGTTTAAATGTAGCATCAAAGACACTAAGATTTACTCAATAAGTAAAGGTTTGTGGCATATTTGAGTGTGAAGAACTTTACATATGTGGCAGGTTTGTGAGATGCAGGTCAAGTGGCCACATTTTGATAAAGTAAAGCTGCAGATTGCGTACACTCTAATCATAGGATTAATATGCATGGTGAGAAGTGTCCCTTTAGAAGTGGGTGAAATGGTTAAAATCCTCTGTTACGGTATATCTGATCTTATGTCAGTATTCATTCGGATTCAACACATTTATGGAAAATCAATAGAGAAACTGTTTATAGATATGAAGTAGCAGAGAAGAATCTGTTTTAATGTGTCACATTGAGATACTTTATCTTGTTTATGCTAAAATATAATATACAATCTCAGTACTGATAAAAGTCAGTGCTGCTCAGTGATTTGCACACTGGTCTAATAAAGAGATGTTTAAGAGAGAGAAACCAGAGTATAAACAAACATGTAATGACCATCAGAGTTTGTGGGTGTGTGTGTTGGTGTGCGTGTGCATGTTGTGGATAGTAATGTTAAGTTTGCGGTTTACTGTGTTGTCAATGGAGCCTGACTGATATGGACTTTTTTAAGCCAATGCTGATATCAGAAAATAAACAATTTCAGATAGCGTTTATATCAGCTGATATAAATGTATACAGTTGAACCATTAAATTTGTTTATAATAGATTAATAAAATACAAATATGTTGAACCTATTTAAAATATCAACATATATGCACATCTTTTTTGAATTGTTTATTCTTTCAGATAAAAGTTTTCAGTACGTGTCCTGTAAAAGGCTCATATCAGACGATTGTTATTGGCCAATAGATACGTTCATCAGGCTCTAGTTGACAACGTGAGATTAAACCCAACTTGTGTAAACTGTTGAGTAGTTTGTTTTACTTACTCAAATCAATGTTGAAGAAAATTACTAGAGCCCTGATTTAACTTTGAGCTTAACTGAATTTATTTTTCTTTCTTAAACCTTAAACTATTTCAAGTAGCTGTTTATTGGTTATCGAGGAAACTCATCGCAATATGCACTGAAGTCTGTTCTCATCACATAGAGTATCTGTATGATTGTTGCCTTTCAGCTGTAAGGTTTTTGTTGCAATGATGATAAAGAACAGGTGGAAGAAGCAGGACTCCAAAGAAAAGCAGCACATCGCTCAGTTTGAATTGTCTTAACTAAACAGGCTTTAATTCAGTGCAGATGAAGGAAGAGAAGAATGTGGTTTCTCTGGATATAAACACTAAGAATGTCCCCAGTTCAACCCGTGAAGGGTTTAAAAGAGGGAGCACATATCATATCATACAGTTCAGTGCTTTAAATATTTAGTGTTTGATATCAATCATCATCAATGTTTAAAAAGAAATGATGATTCTGCAAAACATTTAGTGAGGATGTGATATTTTCATAAGATCCATAACACCTGTAGCTCAGTTATTAAGATTAATAAATGATACCAATCAATAATACTTTTATATAGAGTGCTTTTCTAGATGTTTGACGCTCAGTAGATGTTTACTGTTGCTGTGTGATGTTCTGGATGCGTTTCGCAGTGTGTCAGACAGAAGACAGTCTTCAAATAATACAAATCCAAAAAATCTGCTTTATACTTGAAGTTGAAGTCCGGCATGGACTTTTTTTCCAATCATTAATCCTCTGTTGAGTGTCTTAGAACTGAATTATTACACTGACTCATTTCCAAAGTGTCTTCCAACATTTTGAAACCATTTTATAACTAATAATATATTTTCAGCATAACTGACATGAGGAAGAAATTTACTTTCTAAGAAAATTCACTTTTTATACATGTCTAAGTAAGAGGAGTGATTCGTTGCCAAATATATTGGGGGAACATATTTGTCTATTTTATTGTTCTTAAAAGGGAGTTTGTGTTTTGAAGACATTGTGACACAACTGCCGTATCATGCACTTTTGAAAAGGGCTTGTTTTTTTTTTTTGTCAGTCTACATCCCATAAGCCTTTGTGCCAGTCGATGAATGGTTTTCTTTTCCTGTGTCTCTAGTGAGTGATTAGATTTTACAGCTGGATTTACCAGAGAGCAGCTCAAACTCTCTGACTTAACCTGTGAATGATCGTTGGCAATGTTTTATTGAAATGTCATTTACAAACTAAACATTTATAATAGAACGGATTCATGATTGTGGACAAATACATAAATAAATAAGGATTGTGTGATAAATGCTTGTGAGTGCTGGTCAGTTTTTGTTCATCAAAAATATTGATAAACAAAGATCCTGCTATATTGCCAGTGAGAATTCAGAATTCAAATGTGGGGGGTGGCCTCACAGAGCTGCTGGTGTCGTTGTGAACTCTTACAATATGTCACATTTCTGCACGACTTAGTAAATGCATTAAGTTTATACAATACACCATTTGTTTCCGGTTAGCTAGAATTGCACACAACTCCGCCAAGGCCCAACAGTCCCTATGAATTCAATGACGCTGTTCACAAGCTCAGGAATCAGCCCCCTAAATGTTTCTGATGTCTGTCATCAAGATCCGCGAATCAGTCCCTGGGAAAACTGTCCTATCTCACTATGTTAAAGAAATCTGTCCTTGAGGGGCTCCTTCCCTGAACCACATCCTTCCATTACACTTCGTTGAACTCCGCACAGCAGATTTTGTGTAATCTTGCTTTAAACAACCATGTTAACCAACGAACAAACAAACAGGGAAAACATAACAACCTTGGCGACAATAATGAACAAAATGTGCTGTGTTTTACAGGAAATGATGCGTCACATACACAAATACATGTTTCATCAGTCATTTCTTTTAATCTTCCACAGTTGTAAGTAGCTGCTTAGTTTCATAAAGTGCATTGCATTATGGGGCAATGATGTTCAACAACAGCACACTCAAAAACCTGGGTTTTTTATTGAGCATATTGTTTTTGTCATTTATTTTGTCACTTTCCAATGCAAACACATAAAAGGCTGAGTTGTATCTGGGACACATTTGACTTCTTTTAAGGATCAAATTGAAACGTTTCCAGTGTGTGCGTTTGCGCAGCTGTTTTTTTCGTGCACACCCACTGGCGTGCATTTGTTTTTCAGAGTGTTCACAAGTGTATTGTGTGTGTGCACGAGGTATTGTTCTCACAAGGTGTCCGTCTTAGAGATAGTGTTTATGTCACAGACGCCATTCTGTTTCTCAAGGTTAATGATCTCATTGTAAATCATGTCACATCCTCCTCCTCAACTCCCCCTTTCTTTCTCTCTCCTGCTTTTCTCTCCTCCTGCCTGCTGCCTTCACTGAATCTGTGATTTGCTCTGTGGCCGTGCACATGTATGAACGTGTGTGTGTGTATGTGTGTGTATGTGTGTGTGTGTGTGTCTGCATGTGCTGAATGCTAATGCAACAATAAATGCACACACACACAGATGGGGTAATTCATACACATAAGAATGCAGAAGTAGTTGCATTCTTGCATATGCAGCATAATATACACATCATTGTCAACATCAGTTCCTGCAATGTGCACACAAACACACACACACACACACACACAAAAACACACACAAACACACACACAAAAACACACATACCTATAGTTTGATGAACGTGCTTTGACCTTTCTTCAGTTCGAGATATTGTTGCCCACAAATTCGTGTTACTTCCTTTTTCCTAATAGAAGAAAAAGGGGAAACACTTTTATTATCGTTGCCGTGGAGCTTGTCAAAGTCTCCCACAGTTTGAACAATGGACACATAAGACGTTCTGTGAAAAGTTCCCACAGAGGATCGATGAACGTGCAGAGCTGAGTCACATTTGTCTGTTAACTGCCTGAAATGTGGCTTAAATCATTTGTGTGTAAAGTTTTCTCGTGTGAAGTGATGTGCTCTTTGCAGATCTCGACTCCGTAGAGGCAACTTCACTCAATATTTAGATTTTACATACTTCTGTTGTGAATTTAAATTTTATATGAATGATTCATGATGTTCCTATTACTTTGTATATGTTGTTTATTATGCACTTATTAACGTGTTTCAGGCTCAAAGAATGTGAGGACTCCAACAAAGAGCATTCTTCCATTCTGTGAAACTCAGTTTAGATTTCAAACATGGAACAGAAACAGGAAGTAACACTAAACCATTCCCAGGGGCTTCTGTCAAATCACAAACTAGAAGTGTTGTAACACCATGATCCATGATCTGAAATGTGTTTTTACAGTCAGGGCCACTTTACATTCAGAGTCAGTGAGCTTAAAAAACTGCAGAAGTGGACAGAACCCTCGTACGGTAGATTTAAAGTTAATTCTCCACAAGACCAAGTCTCAGGCAGCGCTTTGTCGACGGTAACTCTCCCAGTGTGAGAGCTCTCATCCTCCATTTAAGCTTTCCCCTCAGACACCTGAACATAATCTGTGCCTGCGTGACACTGCATTATCATAACTGAATAAAGATGGGTCAGAGCGAGCCGCTCTGTGTGCAGAGGGCGGAGCACCAATATGAACTCACCTCTGTGTCCCTGCTCTGTGTGCAAGAGACACAGAGTGTGTGCCCCTTGTGTGTGTGTGTGTGTGTGTGTGTGTTTGTGAGTGTACCTCCATCTGTCCCCTCCCTGTGTGTGTATGTGTGTGTATTTTTTTCCTGTGTCAACCATTTCTCTCTGGAGGCGTTGCGGCCCCCATGAGTGGTCATGGCGGATCATGTTGGCCCCTCTCAGACAGTTTGCTCCTGTCAAATATGGTTTCACCCTGATGGTTACGGCTCCTGCTGCACTGGGACCCTCCATCACAAGCTGCCGGCCTGTCAGGGACTTTCCCCCTCAGCAGCACAACTTGTTCCCTCCACAGGACTCCCCTTCCTTTATCTATTTATTTTTAAACTTCACGCTGTCTGGAGTTTCACCTGATTCTTTGAGAGGGAGAGAGGTAGATGAAGTGCCAGGAAAATAATTTTAAAAACTCTCTAATAGTCTCCTTAAGTTCAACCAAGCTGCTCTCAGTTCTTTAAATGTTGATTTATTGTTATGTCTCTATAGGAAAATCTCTAGTCCTTCCATAATCTGTTAACTCATTTCTGCATGATACTGGTCATAAAGAAATACACCAACCAACAAACAAACAGGTGAAATGTTGTTGGCCAAAGTGAAGCATGAATACACAAAATGTGCCGAAGGGAAAATTTCTACCTGTTGGGGAAATTTACAACATTTATCTGTTTTCTTGCAGTTATACGAGAAGATTGACATCTTTCTCTCTACATATCCACACATTGTATACAAAGCTGCAGGGAGTTAGCTTAGCTTGGCATAAAGGTTGAAGCAGAGAGTTGGTCTGGATCCGTCCAAAAGTAATAAGTTTAATTTTTAAAATTGAAAAACTGCCTATTCATGGAGGATTGTGCTCTGAACTTATTCTTGGACAGGAGGTGGAGGTGTAGCTTGTTGCAATTATATACAGTTATATTCTCAACAGTTTGGTTTAGTCCAGTGATTCACATTTTAAAGGTTGGCACTTCTCCTAAGGGGTCAGAAGTGAAATCTGGGGGATCTTGAAATGATTCATTTGCTTGGAAGGAAGACAAAAACAAAGCTCTGCTTCATAAGTCTGTTCTCACTTCACTCTGTTCTTTGCTATTTTTGAAAAGATTAGACACTGTCGTGCAGCAGCGTGGACCAGTGGCACTGTCGCCTCACAACAAGAAGGTTCTCGGTTTGACTCCCTGCTCTATGTGTGAAGTTTTCACGTTCTTCTCCGTGTTTGCATGGGTTAGAGATTTTAAATTGACCATGGGTATGAATGGATAGATACTCTCTCCCCAAAAATGTGGGGAATCACTGATTTAATCTAAATAACAAATACATTTATTAAGCAAATCAAATGCTTTTAATGAAAAATCTCACCCTGTATGTAAGTACAGCTGTCGAATGAATGTAGTGCAAGGTTTATTGTATTAAATGTAGAAGGGAAGACGTATAAAGTATAAAATCCTAGAGTATAAAGGAAGAGTAAGGTAAAAATCTCAGAGTACTTGAGTAGATTTTCCACCCTGAGCGATTGATATGAGTCATGACGATGGCGACCACATCACTGTGTTTATCTGCAGTAGTCCCAGACTGAAGCATCGTCGCTGCAGATTTTTCTTTCTTTCTTTCAGGGCAGAGCGATCAGCTTCTACCACATGTAAATTTTACGTTTTATGTCTTTGTCACAGGTATCAGATGAAGCTGTGATGTTTTTTTATCCCCGTCTGGCTCTTTACGACCCGTCGTGTCTGGAGTTTTCCCTCCTGCAGCTTCTCAGCCAGCACCGTCAGCCTTGTTACAGCGGATGTCTTAAGAGCTGCAGATATAGATCCAGCAGCCGGTGCTCAATACACAGAGCACATTCACGAAGAGCAGCAGCGGAGAGTTAATACGTCCCCTATGAGCTGTATGCATGTGTCTTTATGTGCAGTATCTAGATGAGCAAGTCTCTGATGATGTAATGCAGCTAAGCCGTGATTATTTATTTATTTTTCCAATCATCCATTGATCCACCCACAAATCTACATGGTCTTCAATCACATATAGGCAGAAAACCGCAGACAGAGGAAGAGGAGGATGGTGGGAGGGGGGGGGCATATTTGTTCATTACAGCCTTTCTTCTATCTGAGGTATGTAGTGAAATGGTCGCCACTGTTTCCATGGCAACTCTGTGAGAGCAACCTCTGCCCACAACATTTCAAAAGATCAGAGATGTTATTTTTAAAGTATCCCTGAGACAAGATGATGTCGAAAGCTTGAGAGGAGGAATTCTCGTACAAAAACAACCGTGTCTGCACATAAGAAGACGACGTGTCTCTGCGGCTACAAACAGTCAGGAAGGTATTCACCATTTGCAACAGGAGGTTTTACGTTCCTCATTGAAACTGCTAAGCTACTTTGTTAAAATCAGATCAAACTAAAAACTTTTAAACCCTCTTTCCTTTCTTACTTTTGGCCCTCGTTCCACTCGTGTTTGCACGTCAACCAAAGGTGGCCCGAATTAGTTTTTTGCTATTTCGACCATAGCCCCCATTTACCACATAGGCCACTGGAGGTTCACATCCACACTATCCCACATGTTTTCCAAAAAAGGGCACACATTTCTTCAGGGGTATTTATGGCCACATTTGCTGTTTTCCAAGTGGGCAACTGTCGGCTCAGATCCAGGT